GTCAACAAGCAACTGAACAAGGTCGTTTCGTTTCGTCTGATTTTTATTTTCTTCTCTTCTTTTACGGATGACGGTTTTTGCAAGATCACGGAAAAAGTTAAAGTTCTTCTCTGGAAAAACGATTCGAAGATTGAAAAAATTGTTGAAGCACTTTGGCATGATGAGCATTGACAGCACTTTAAGCGGGTTTGTCTTAAACAAGCCGAGACCATTGTCAACAAAAGCATTTCTTTTACTTCGATCATCATTTGCATTTGTTTGAACGGCAAAGGAAGTGGTGCCAATAATATCGATAGTATACCCAGCAAGAACTTCTTTAATGTTGACCACACTGTTTTCCGACTCCACCAGCTTGTCAAAGTAGAGAATCAGCCTGTCAACGCACTGATTCATTAGCCCACTCATGTTGCGCATCTTGGCACTGGTAAATGCCACACTAGTGATGCTGCGGATCTACGTAAACAATAGCAGTTCAACAGGTAAGTTTGTATAATGCCGAGAGATTGCCAATCAAAAGCAATGTTTACCTTTTTCCATAGATCTCCTTCAGAATGAAACAGATTTTTACTCCAGATTTCATGCTCGAATTTTTGCTTTCGGCGGTTCATGAACACGGTTGGAAGATCACGAATCATCACCTGTTTGATCAGATCAGGTTCGGTGATTGTCAAGGCGGGTGTCAGGCCAATGTAAATGCCATACATCTGTCCGTAGTTTTTCATCCATTGCAACTCGGTGGCAGCCAAGCCATTTTTAATTGGGTCAAAAGCATTGCCAAAGAAAAACTGCGGTTTTGGACCAGCAATACCTTTCTTAATCCAGTAAGTGTGCTTGTTTTTAATATAACTGCAAAAGTTAGTAAATAAAAAATTGTTGCATATAGAATTGGTCAAACAACTCACAAATAGGCTCCAACTAAAACAGACACAAGAAACACCAAAATAGTCCCCAGCTCCATTAAGACTTTGAAGTGAAAATGAATTACAAACACTAGTTTGCTAACAAATTCACACATATGGTAGTAATATTACTGATTTTTGCTAGTTTTTATACAAATCTAAGTTGCAAACAAAAGTACATAAATCGTACTTGTACGAAAATAGGTCTCTCAGATTAAAACTACGTCACACTTTCTCCTTTGAGTTAGCCGTCAGTTAGCTCTGCTTTTTATTGATTTCAAATATATTTTTGCATCTCAAATAGTGAAATACACTATGATTAAATTTCAAGTAGTCTATTTGCTTGACGTCAATTCTAACTTTTATTGTAGTAAAGTTAAAAACATGAACAATCACTCATAAAAAAACTTATTTTTTAAATGCTAAAAATAAAACAATTTTAATTGAAGGACTTCTCAAACAACTTGATAGTGATAATATCCGGTGCAACGTTGTAGAGCAATTTATTTACTCAGTGTGTGATACATTTAACGTTAACTAAATTAAACTTAAATAAAATTTAAAATAATGAAAATATAATCAACATAAAAACCACAAGAATATTAAGTATCTCATAAATCAACACAAATTGGTGCATGTTCAAACTTTTTAGTAATTGAAGGCAGGAAGCCCAACTCCATATCTAATGTAATAAAAATTTCAAGTTAACATGTGCATTAATCATTTAGTTTT